GTTTCACTGGGTTGTATCAGTGATGAAGGTGAAACATAATAGAGATGAAATGTGATGTAGCTGAGATGTGATGTAAGTGAAATGTGATAGATATGAAACACTGATGTAGGTGAAACACATCAAGTGATGGGATCAGTTGTATAGTACAGGGTCAATGACAAATAGTTAGGAACAGAAAGAAAACCCCCCATGATTCTGTAACAAATCCAATAATTCTTCACTAGAATTCCTGGATGAAGGAGGTTTCCAATACCCTTTCCCATCCCTGACAAACACCACTTGTTGCCCGTTCCTTATCCCCGGTTCCTCAAACTCCTCCAATAACGATGCTATAGTCTTACATCAATTCCCTGGACCCCTGGAGATTTCCCACAACACCTTAGAAGCTTCCACCGGATCTTACCACGTGGCCCCTGCACAGGTCCTCCTTTCCTTGTCACCTATGAATATCTCATCCTCACCAAATCCTAATAGTCCTATCGCTGCATCTACTGACTCTTCCAGTATGCCACCTCTCACCTCTGATGTCTCCAACAATGGCAGCCTCAACAATGCTCCCAATCTACAGCTCCTAGCAAATGTCGGTGAGTATGTCACAGTGTCAGAAGGATACAGCAGTGACCCCCAGGAGTTTGTGGTCTATAGCGACGACATAATCCAATGCCCCTCCAACAACGTTACCCAGTCTTGGCAATCTATCCCCTTCAACATGTCTACCCCTGTTCAAGATGTCAATCTCTTGGAATGTGTACTGCCCCATTTCCCCAGAGCCTATGCTAATTCCATTACATGACCTCCTATGGGTGTTCCCATTGATGGTAACCCGGCTTTTGAATTACAACGAATATCGATGACCATGGCAGCTGCACTTTGTACTGCTGAACCTGTGGGAAACTGGAACTCTTTGGACAACGAATGGGAGGAGAACACTTGGGAGTACTTGCTGACATGGGATGATAATTTGTTGGAAAGTCTTTGGGCATCACTTCAAGACATTCGAGACCCAGGAGTAACGGATGAAGTCAATCATTTTAGGGCCGTCAATACAAAGATCGATCTACTTCTTGCAGTGTGACAATCTATAGGGGCTGAACTTATTTGCACTGAAGAGGAGATAAGTCAATGTTGAACACATCTCAAGGCTGCTAATTTGGAAGAACACCTCAAACACCACAAGTTCTCCATTATCACCCCCCCTTCCAGCACTATGCCTTGCCGCCTTTGCTTCTGTACAAAATGTGAGGTCGATGGACATCTTCAGAGTGAGTGTTGGCATTGGTTGTGCTCCTATTGTGGACTCCTACACCCTCATCATAAATTCCGCACTGCCACAGATGTTCAGTCCAGACAACTCCCTTGCCCCACTGACGAACCTGGATACCTACAGGAGCACCACGCGCAGTGGATGCTCTGAACAACAAATCTGGAGAGGGGGGTAATGTTACAACATCAGAGGGGGGTTCCTTTTCTTTTCTCAACTATTTGTTGTTGACCCTGTACTATACAAACTGATCCCATCACTTGATGTATTTCACCTACATCAGTGTTTCATATCTATTGCATTTCACTTATATCATGTTTCACCTACGTCATATTTCACCTCTATCATGTTTCATCCTCATCACTGATACAACCCAGTGAAAACTGTTCTTGTACATCACTGATCCAACTCAGTGTTTCATACTTATTAAACTCTATTTGTCCCACTCTATTTAAGTAGCACTGGTTGGCTACTCTGTTACTTTAGTTTGTCCTCCTCTTGTTTTCCCTATGTACACTTCATAGGGATGTCTCTAGTAATAGACTCAGTTGTCTATTCCAGTTTCAGTCTGAAGCACTGCTTCAACCAGTATTTGCTCTCAAACCACTATCCAACATAGCGGCTCAGTTTACAAGTCTAGTATCAGTATAGGACAATAGTGTGTATAAGTCTCAGTAACAGTTAACAGTTGAACTCCTGATCCTCAGCCATTAGGTCCCTTAACATAGACTCAGTTGTCTATCCCAGTCTCAGTCTGAAGTGTTGCTTCAACCAGTATACATTCTCAAACCACTATCAGCTATAGTAGCTCAGTCTACAAGTCTAGTCCCAGTGTAGCACGTTAGTTTGGCATGTATAAGTCCTAGTAACAGTTATCAGTTGAACTCCTGATCCTCAGTCATCAGGTCCCTTAACAGCCAGACTAGTTATAGTCATTTACTTGCTTCAGTCTTAGCCATCCTCTACAGTAAACTGCGTCAAAGCCCTTTACTCAAGAAACACTAGTCAGTGAGTAGTTTAGGGTTAGGTTTAGGATCTAGGAGGCAGTCACAGTGAGTCATTGCGTGATATCCTAGAAGAGTTTTGTCCTAATATTAAGAGACCTGGAACAACAGAGGATCAGGAGTTCCACTGGACTTTACTGGTACATTCTAAGACTATGATGCTTAAGTCCTATAGGACTTATACTGAGAGGTTTGTCTAACCTAGCTGAGCTTTCCTAGCTGGAGAAGTTTTAGAGCACAAACTGACTGAAGCAAATGATAGACAACTGGGCCTATATTGCAGAGATAACCCCATGAGGTGTATGTAGGAAACAGGAGGACAAAACTAAAGTATAACAAGGCAATAGCTATGTCTTAAATAGACAAAGGGATTGGAAATAGTATAGGGTTCTGTCAATGTAAATAGAATAATGTATCAGCACAGGAGTTGAATCAAGAACTGATAGATAGGATGATAAAGGTGAAACACTGAGATGAATCAGTGATGAATAACAACAGTTAGATATGAAAGTAGCACATGAAATGCATCAAGGAAAGATCAAACAGGAATAGATTGTACAGAGTCTGGAGAAGATGAGTAAGATGAAAAAGGAAAACCCCCCTCATGTCATTGTAACAGCCATGCCAAAGAGGCAACCCAAGCAGCACAGTTAGGACAGATAGCTCTCATCAAGGAAAAGGCTGCAATCTTGACCTTGAAGAATAGTGAGTTAGAGGAGCAGCTTGAGTGCCTCCATCAATGGGATAAGCCTGAAGTTGGAAGCAAGAAGGGCAAGCTTGTTGGAAAGACACAGTTTTGACAGATGAAGAGAGACAAATGGTGTTGGTATCTTTTGGATGCAGCTACTCAGTTCGCAGAATATCACTCACTTGGGAACAGTACTCACTTCATTAGGGAGGAAGCAGCCACAGATCTGGCTCAATCATAGTCAGACTTGGTCACTGGCAACATGGAAAGTAATCCTGAATTCAATCCTTAGTTTATTCTATTAACCTACATTGTTCCAATACCATACAAATCGAGTATATACATTCGACGAGGTGATCGTATGCTGGTACAGACGCGATCGAAGAATGGGTCAAAGACTGATCGCGTTTTGGCATATGGGAAACTTATGTAATCGTCACGCACACTTTGCAGGAATTGCCGCTCCCCAGTAACGGGCTAACAGCGCATGACAATGGTAGACACCACCCTCAGTGCTGCCTCACGTGCCTGTCACGGATTGTCACAAGGACCACGGTATGAATGAGGCCTGTCTTAGCAGTTGCCACGTCACGTTTTGCAGACGCGCGAACGTCTTCTCCTCAGACGCGTACCCACTCTTCGGTCATATCGTTTTGTCTGCCGGAGTCCTTTTGTCTGCCTAACCTTAGCTATGAACGGTGCAGCGTCGAACTTGGTTATCTCTCTCGTGGCCATGCAAGGTTTGTCGGACATGCAACATCTTGTATATTTTACTCATGCGAGGACTGTCGAAAGCCGCGAGGAAGATCGACTTCAATGACCCTCAAATTCTTATGTTTGTCAGGATTGCCTATGTGTCGGTACAAACTATCATTCTGGCTGCATACTACTACACCTCCATAAAGGTATAATGTTGGCGATGATACCGGTGTGTTGGAAGCTAATGAGCCTTTGGTAGATCAAGCAAAAAAACGATATGACTGTTCTCAAATACGGTACGCATAATTGCCCCACTCTTCATGATTAATCTGACCTCATTGTCTCCAGTCGAACCCGCTAACCCCATGGTAAGTGCCATTAATCTTACTCTTCTGACATGACGAGACAAGCTTGGTCGCCAACCACCGTTTGATACTGACAGGCGGGCAAAGAAGATGGGCAACTTGTTACTACCACAGTAAAAGATTACGACCTTTCGGAGACCTCAAAGCTCATTCGCGGCGCGCTCATTGGCGTCGCCATGATGGCGTTCATGCATGGCTATATGAGGTGCACCCGAATGCTTGTTGCTGTTCATGCATAACTTACGTTCTTCCTTCCTTTAGATATACCCAGCCGCTCTTTGTTCAAGCACTTATGGGCCTCAAGAACCTTTATGATGCTAAGCCAGTCGCAATCCACATTCTCGGAAAGCCTGCGGAGGGTGATCTTAAACGACCATTTAAAACAGGTGGTTTTATGGGTGGTGAGCTAGTGTGCATTATAACTGCTTATATATTCATTTCTAACTGATTTACGCAGCGGCGGCGGACCCTCAGACGGATAAGGCTGCTATTGACCAGGCGGAAAAGCATGTTGCTAAGAAGGAGGATTAGATAGAATGGATTGATTGTTTCATCCTACATGCCTTCTTACGCGCAGCTGTTTCCATTCGTCGGTTGATCTATCATAACGTCATTAAGGTTAATCAATGCTGCTAGTCTGCGACCGTTGCTCTTCTGGTCAGAGGCTGGCAGGATGCCCCAAACTGGTGACGTGGCACTCATTGTTGAGTGGGGATGTGCATGAGATTGCGTGAGTAAATAAAAAACGTGCAGATGATATGCAGGAAGATTAGTGACGATACGATGTATATACGGTAGCAACTTTTGTAAAACGGCCAACCAGCTTCAAAAGTTCATGTCAAATTGGATGAGGCCCCCAAAGCACCAGCGAAGAGCCCCAGTTTAGCCTCAAGTTGACTCTACTCTTGAATCTTGGCGAGAATCTCTGAGTCCCTGAACAAGAAGTATTCCTATATGAACGTAGATATGTCAGAGCACGAAACGAGCGAGCACGTATGCTTGAATAATACTCACCTCTTCACCGACCTTTATAGAGTTGCCGCCCCACCCAGGGAGCAGCACACGGTCGCCAGCTTTGACAGAAGTAGCCACAATCTGGCCGTCTTTGTTTGGCGCACCGGGACCGACAGCAATGACGGTCGCCTCGGGAAGAGGGCTACTGGTCGCAGATTGGGGAAGGAAGATGCCAGCCGCAGTTTTCTGCACAACATAGAACATACCAGGACGACAGTTAGCCATAGTACTAAAGAGTTAGAGACAGGGACGCACTGTCTCAGGCTTAAACCGTTGGACAAGAACACGGTCAAGGAGAGGCACGACGGCCTTGATGGTCTTGAACGTCGCCTGGGCAGCCTGGACAGGGAGATGTAAACGACAATGGAACACGTATAAACTCAGCAGAACGGACCATTGAACGAGGAATCAATAAGCACGAGCAAGAGTCACTGGTAAGAAAACGAGCGCTACGATTTCGTTTTATGTCGGCAGTGTTTGTCCGAGCCAAACAACATTACCGACCGAATTTATGGAATGCTCTCGAACAACCCTCAAATGTGACGCGAGCAGCAGCAGCTCGGTAAGGAAAAAAATGGATGGTATTGCAGTAGGATGGATGTGGGGTAAGTTGCGTAACTACATTGCAGATGAGGAAGAAAGGAACATGCACACATGAGAGAGGGAAATGTACGTCTGGTCACAATCACTAGCAGCAGTGAGTCATCACGAATTCCAAGAGAGGCACTACGCCCGCACAGTGGGTGAGGGAAAGTACAGCTATATAGCCTGGTAAGTCCGTTTCTTACCCAATAATCATATCATCTCCACTCCCGTCGTCCAGGACTGCTCGCGATGGTGGAGCATTCAACGCTGCGAGCGTGTGGTTCATGTTCACACTGCGTGTCGGCACAGCCGTGCGCATCGCATTCGCCTGAGGTGGAGCAGCGTCCACCTGCTCAGCTACATGCGACTCCGCTGTCGCTGTACGCGCAAGCCGCTCGCGGTCCCTACGGTCAATCCGACTCGCGCCTGCTATGGCGCCCCCGGTGGTGTTATTCGTGGTAATGCCAACCGCACCCACCGCCGAACGAGAGGATTCACCATGGTGCCCATGGTGGTGGTCGCCATCTTCTTCTGGATCCTTTGCACTGCACCAGAACCGATGACCTTCACTCCATGCTGTACTTTGACATTCTTTCCCGCAGTACTTTGCTTTCCTGCATCGCCGGCATTTTGCAAACTCACGAGGGAACGACTCCCATCGTCCACATAGCACTGGAACATTCAGCATTAGCACAGCAATTGTAATTTCACATATTTTCCCTTACTATTAGCACATTGTCTGATCCCGCCACGAGATTCGTCCTTCCGGCACGCATTGCGCATGATGACACCCGCCCAGTACTGGATCTCCGGAGGCAGTGATGGGGGAGGGTTAGGTGAGTCGAGGTCTACCGAGCTCTGTCGGAAAGTAAATCTCTCTACCAAAGAAAATACATTGGTCATGCGTTGTGATGATGTCGGTGTAGTAGATGTAGATGCTGTGGAATTGGAGGAAGCAATTGGGGTCGCCTTTTCTTTTTCCTTTCCGCGTCCTGTCGCATTCGCAAATGCTCGCATGAATGAACTCTGTTCCTTTATCGGTGTCCTTTCAGTACCGCTAGACGTCGACCCACTGGCACCAGATGTCCTACTTCCCGACGTCGCCCCGCTCGATCCGGCAACAGGTTGCGCAAATCTACCGTCTCCAGCTGGAAGCTGCGCTGTCGCAGGGTGAAACGTTGGGCGCTGCTTATAGAACGCCTGACGAACGTGAGGGTATTTGCTGAGATATGCAAGTAGTTGCAAGCTGAGAAGCACATCTTCATCTCTGTACGGTCCGCCGTCAGTGTCGCGTGCGTGGTGTGTATGCGAGCTTGAAGCGCCCGCAGTGCCTCCCGTGTTTCCACCGCCAGGCTGGGTATTCGTACCTCGATTGACGTGTATGCGAGTAGGTCGCATCGCACTCGCCTCTCCAGCAGCTGTAACTCGAACGGCAGTGTTCGGAACAGGTGGGACGATGATGGGGATAACATGCGGGAGATTGGTGGTACCAGCACGAGGTGTTCTCTCTCCAGCCGTATGAGTATCATTAACTCTTGCTGGAGGGCCATCAATAGCCCCAGGCGCACCGGGGGGCGCACCCATAGCAAAATCATCATTAGCCTCCAGAGAGACTAGGCCGTCTTCTACCCCAACGCCTTCTACCCCAACCCGCTGATCGTTGATGATGATGTGGGCATCACTGTTGATGTCGAGGGAAGCCGCAACGTCGTTAGGTGGTGTGTCAGAAACAATGCCCACCGCCCTCCGCGGATGCACAGGTGCCGGTCGAATCGTGCCGGTGCTTGCAGCTGAAGGCCGACGCTCTGGGAGGGGAGACCCCGACATGGATGGAGCATCTTCACGACTACTTTCTCGATCCATATCGACATCTCCGTCGTCTTCGGTCTCCGTTTCAGGACGCGAATTGTCCGCAGAAGTCGAAGCCGAAGCGCCTGCCGATGCCGCGACCCTCGAGCGATGCACTCGTCGGTGACCGATGGATGTCGAAGGAACCTGATCCCATGTCGGACGTGCGATAACAGTTCCGCTGCGATCTCTCCCAGGAACAACAACTGCCCCAGTAGGAGTATTTGTACCGCCCGGTGTTACGTTCGATGATGTATCTGTATCTGTTGGTGTGTCTGCATCTGGTTGCCGCACAACAAGGGTCGTTGTAGTGGGTTCTGTGTCCATAGGCTCATCCTGCAATATCCGTCAGGCACCACGCAGTGTTACATCGCCAGTTATACTCACCTGGCGTTCGGCCGATGGCGCCCGCGCAGCGAGCCTGAGACTGCGCTCGACGTTCACCTGTCGCTGAAGCGCCCGCGCCAAAGCATCCGCCTGCTCCCGCTGACGAGCTTCCGATTGAGCCTGTCGTCGCGCCAACCGCTGCTCCCGCGTCTCACGAGGCATTCCACTCGCGCTGACACTAGGGCCAACCGCAAATCCCCGGCCCGCCAGCCACGCCTCCAGAATGCAGCCGACGACCTCCAGGGTTCCTGCCTGCACCACTCTGCTTCGGATTGGCTCGCTGCCACGAACACCGATGTTGACGACACATTGAAAGGCGAGACTGAAACGATACTGCGCTTGCTTGTCGTAGGTCTTAGGGTTGAGGGTGGGCACGAGTTTTGAGGGGTGAGACGAGGGTGGCGAGAGGCCATAGAAAACTGTGGGGTTTTCGGGAGGCGGAGGACACATGCAGAAGTCGTGAAGGATCCGAACGAGACGTTCGAGGCCACCATCCATGGTCATAATTTCGCGTATTCGGGGGGATGTTGAGGTGAGATAGGTGAGGTGGGTCAGTGAGTTGAACAATGGAAGGGGAGAATTCGTGTCCAATGCTGCGATCGTGGAGGTCAGTGGCGATGCCCATGGGGTCAATAGGATGAATCTGCCCACCTCGTCTGTCATACAGCTGGGAGGAGATGCAGACGCAAGCCCGATTCTGGGCTGGGAATGCGAAGTTGGATTCTCGCATTGCGCGGAAAGGAGTGGCGGGGTAGAGGTGCCGCCGCTAGAGATGAGGGTGGGGCGCAATGCGAGGGGATAAGCGGGCTGATGGGGGATGGGGAGTCGGCGTCGCCGTGGACGTCGAGGAGAGATGTTGGGAGGTCGTCTGCCGCCCGGCGGTGCGATCTGACTGATAGGTATGTGGCCTTGTTTGCCTGTGGCGCCGCCAGGAACCCCAGGCCGCCAATTTCTTTATATGGGCTGTACAGAGCCCGGAACGGTATCAAATGACTAAGCGAGCGATCATCAGACGCCCGATCGGTGAGCCCGCCTCGGACATCCCTCAGCCTCTCCGCCTGTGTCTTCCGACCATCGCTGGCAGGAGGCTTCACCGCCGACGGTATGAGTCCGCCGTATAGTATGCTCGGCCTCGAAGCAGTTGAACAAGATTCTCATTATTGTCCGCTCCTATCCCAGTGATGGCGTTGCCACCCGTGTCCATCATCCATGACCCTCTGGATCTTTCCTGATTCTATGCCACACACTCGATATGGTCGCTCAACAACATGGTAGTCATGTTTGAGGTTGACATATGGTTGTTTTCCAAGACAAATTCTGAGAAGCTATGAAGAACGAATGAAGAAAAGCAACACATTCGCTCATGCGGATAGCCGCCTCCAGCTCGTCATTCAATAGGGAAGTTCAAAGTTGACGCAGCTGGGCTCGCAGAAAGTTCTGCG